CCCGAGGCATCAGGCTCAACCCATTATTGATGCAGTCTGTACTTCAAAAGCTCTCTCTGTACCTATACTACTTTGTGAGTTTCACTGGGGACACTTTATAGCCTCAGTTTGGTTTCTTTTATCTTTTTAATCTTAAGAAGTCATGAAAGGACATTGAGTTTTCTTCAGCTGGTAATGTGAAAAATACAGAATCAACATAATTAAGTGCCTTGGGTCAGTTTGTTAGGGGTTTCCTAAATGACTGGTATCATTGCCTACACATGTGCCTTGAAACTGATAGAATTTATCTTGAGAAATAGTTTGCATTTTTATTTTTATCATTTATTTATACAAAGGGAACAAATTTCATGTTTTTCATATATGCAGTTTTAAGAATGTAATCAGGGACTGGCAGCATGGCGTAGCAGGTAAAGCTGCCGCCTACAGTGCAGGCATCCCACATGAGCACTGGTTCGAGTCCGGCTGCTCCACTTTTGATCCAGCTCTCTGCTATGGCCTGGGAAAGCAGCAGAAAATGGTCCAAGTCCTTGAGCCCATGTACCCGCATGGGAGACCCAGAAGCAGCTCCTGGCTCCTGGCTTTGGATCAGCGCAGCTCCAACCACTGTGGCCATCTGGGGAGTGAACCAGCGGATGGAAGACTGACTGACTGACCTCCCCTTTCTCCCTCCCTTTTCCTCCCTCCCCCCTCTCCCCCCTCTCTCTGCCTCTCCTTCTGCCTGTGTAACTCTTACTTTCAAATAAATAAATCTTAAAAAATGTAATTATACTTCCCACCCTGCTCTTCCTCTCATGCTTTCCCTCTTCCTCAATTTTTACAACGAAGTATTTTCAATTTACTTTAAATGACAAGCTTAATCCTCCCCTAAATAAAGAACAACAAGTACTATGCAGGAAAACCAGTATTCCTGGGAGCATAGACAAGGGCTAGAAACAATCCAATCTCAAAATGTCTGTTTCACTCATTGCTATTTTTATCTTTTAATTCCATTTCCCATTAACTGTCTGAAGCTTCCTTCTAAGAGATGCATAGGACTGTTGCCACTTGGACATGGACAGAGGCAGTGAGAATGACTATGGCATATACGTTGGAGGCAATCTTTGTTTTTGGTGTGGAAGAGACTTAACGCACTCTTCCAGACGCTGACACTGTCATCTACTCCACACTAGATGAAACACTGGGCTTGAGTAAGACAACAGAGAAGATGTAATTGTGCGTCTCCAAGGTTTTTGCCCCAGAACTGTGATGTTAAGCAATGAGTGACTGGAGAAATGGGCAACAAACCAATCCCTGTGGAGAGGGGGTTGACCAGGCCAGCCCGAAGTCCAGGGTGAGATTCCACTCTCAGAGGGGAATAACGGTGCAGGACAGGAAGCTAAAGACAGCTCCAGACTAAACATGGTGAACAGAACGACACTCATGGCAGAGAAAGTCACTTCAGACCCCTCCAGCAAAGAACAGACCTGCAAGCTGCAGAGTTCCTGTAGTTGTGTGAGACTTTACCAAGGTGAACTGATATTTAGCCTTTAAATGACAGTCATCACATGGTTTCCTCAAAGAAGTCAACTTTAGTACCAATGCTTAATTAACTTTTTCTAAAACTTTTGCATTTTCTCTCCAAAAATTACATTGACATTACAAATGAAATTGAAGTAAATGATATCTTCCTATAAATAATCTTGTTTTTAGTATGTTCACATAACTCTATAAACAGCCTCAATATTAAGTCCTCATATGGAAAAGAATTAAAATCTTAAGTTTGCAACTTGGCAGAATTTGGCCATGACCATATGCTAAGCAAACATTGTCAAGTAGGTCAAAAATTCTCAGGATTTAAAGTGAGATCATTCAATCCATTTGTTTTGTGACATCACTGTTGAAATTTAAATACATAAATCTTTAAAAATTTTTCAAAGGCAGACTTACAGAGATGGGAGAGGCAGAGAGATCTTTCATCTGGTTTAGTCCCCAAAAGGCCACAACCATTAGGGCACGGCCATTCAGAAGCCAGAGGCCTGGAACTCCATCCAGGTCTATCACGTGAGTGGCAGGGCTCCCAAGTACCTGGGCTATCTCCCACTTCCTTCCTGGGCACACAATCGGATGGCTGGATTGAAGTAGAGCAACGAGGACTAGAACCCGCACTCATATGGAATGCTATCATCACAGCTGATGGCACGACCCACTGTGCCGAAATGTCTCCTCAAAATTGGAATTTTTCGTTTATCTGTCATAGAACTGTTTTGCTGAGAACTTCCCCGACATTCCTAATTTTCATTATATTCCATAGTATAAATGACTGAAGCGATCCACATTTTTCAGAGACTACAGAAAGGCAATTCCCTGTAAGGGTTTCCAGCAAAGACTGTGACTTTAATCCTTATATCCCAAGTATCTGAAATTCTGCTGGAAATATTAGTAGTTACTAGAAAATTATTTGCACTTATATTTTGCTAAAAGATGAAGATCCTTCAAAGAATTTGGGGTAAGTGGAATCAAGATGTTTTTGTGGGGCTGGTGCTGTGGCTCACTTGGTTAATCCTCTGCCTGCAGCACTGGCATCCCATATGGGCACCGGGTTCTAGTCCCGGTGGCTCCTCTTCCAGGCCAGCTCTCTGCTGTGGCCTGGGAAGGCAGTGGAGGATGGCTCAAGTGCTTGGGTCCCTGCACCCGTATGGGAGACCGGGAGGAGGCACCTGGCTCCTGGCTTCGGATTAGTGCAGTTCCGGCTGTGGCAGCCATTTGGGGAAGGAAGACCTTTCTCTATCTATAACTCTGTCAAATAAAAGAAAAAAAAGATCTTTTTGTGCAAAAATTTTGAAATACATGCATAGATTTTCATAATATGCATTTTCTATAAGCCTCATATGCATGAACTTTAACATTTCTTCATGGCAAAATAAGCTTAATTTTAAAATTCAGTTTTCCCATAAACCTTTTGAAATACCCTTGTGTAACTTGGTATTTTCACCTGTTGGGTATACATTTGGTCTTGTGTTGTGCTCTTCTGGAAAAAGACCAAGGATGGCTACAGGCTAATCTTGAAGGACTCCGGGGTGAGGAAAACATGAGTTTTAGCATCACTGAGATGTTTGAGCTCCTTAGGTATACACAGTTTTAAAGTGCTCATTGCATCAACTGTGAATTAAGCCCGGTGCTATGAGTACTGCAGGCTGGAGATACGGTAACACCCAAGTCAAAGACTTCATTATTCCTCTGGAAAGGAGAGAAACAAGATTCAAGCAAAAACCTTTCGTCCACAATTTTAGCCATTTTGATGAGCAGCAGAAATTCAATAACTAAACATATCTAATGAAGTTAAGACCCAGCAACTATCTTAGAAGTTAATTCTAGTGCTATTGGCTCCTTCCTTTACACTATGTTCGTCAGGGCCAGCGCTGTGGTGTGGCTGTGATGCTATAACTGCAGTGCAGGCATCCCGTGTGGAATCAGGTTTGAGTCCTGGCTGTTGCACTTCCAACCCAGCTCTTTGCTGTGGCCTGGGAAAGCAGTGGAAGATGGCTCAAGTGCTTGGGTCATCTGCACTCATGTGGGAGACCTGGAGGAGGCTCCTGGCTCCTGATCAGCCCAGCTCTAGCCATTGTGGCCATCTGGGGAGTGAACAAGCAGATGGAAGATTGATCTCTCTCTCTGCTTCTCTGTAACTCTGCCTTTCAAATGAATAAATCTTTAAAAAAGATTATCATTCCATTTCTCTCCATTCTTTCATCAGACTCCTGTAGTAAATCCCACTATAGGAGTCTGGAAAAAAAAACAGGAGTACTCAATTCTCTACGCAGGAGCTAGGAAGGTTTCTAAGAAAGGGAGATGTTTCACTGGAGGTCTGCACAGCTCATTAAGTAACGACAGAGATAAGGAAGCTCTCTCAGGTACAAGTGCAACCAGGATAAAAGCCAACGTTTTGATAACTGAGCAAAGAAATTTGGGGGAACAGCATTCAATATGATGGCAGGGTAGTGGGAAAGAACAGCAGGTGTGTGAGTGGGAAGTGAAAGGCAGTGTAGCCTTTGCAGTATGTAAATAGCATATGCATTTGATAGGATTACCCATCAACCATGTGTAAGTCCTGAAAATCCTGTCTTGGTGCATTCTCATCTTTAGCTTCATATAACTTCAGGTGGGAAGGAAGTCAGCATTACATAATCTTAAAAGTATTTATTACCTTAGTTTAATCTGTACAGAGCAGTTATTAGCAGTCACTCTTCTCAGCCTTAAAAGATCATTAATATGGTGAAAGATCAAGATATATAGTGAGGAGGATTTGTTCTGTGTTTTATTTCGATGATGAAAAATACAATATAAATTACATTTTAGTGATGAAGAAATGTGCAGTAGCAAATCTAAGTGTCATATATCACAAAGAGGATTTTGTCAAACAGCATATTTCATTTGGCTGACAGGAACCTATCAAACATCTCAGACACAGTCTCAGCATGGATGCATAAATTGGGTGTCAATTTTATTACCATTGTTAATGAAATATAAAAAGTATAATGCGATGAAACAGTGGAATAAGTGGCAGTGTACATGCCTTAGGCTGCAAAGAAAAGAGTAATCAGATAATGAGCCCAGTGAGGAAGAGGGGAAGTAATGGAGAAAAACACTATAAAAGAAATCAAATAGATATTTCCTATCTTTTCACTTTAAGTTCAGTTTTTCTGGGAATCGATACTGGACTATATCATAGATCACATCCCAGTGAGCCAAGATTGATTGGTTTTTGCTACTGGGAATAGTAAGCCAAAGCAAACACATTATGGTTGATTGTTTTTACAACAAAGGGGAAGGTAGGAAGAGGTCACATGGCAGCGTCCTGCTCTGAGATCCACAGAGCTGCCAGCTAAATGAACTCCAAAATGGTAGTATAGACACCCATTTCCATTCAGCATGCAATTGCTTGGCTGTCCCTAGCTCTGTGCCAGTCACCATGGTAATGAGTAGCCTTATGACCTCATTATAATTGTGCTCAGGTTTAACATTTCTACCTTCTCCCATCCACCCTCTACAGAATGATGGTTTTAGGAGGGTGACCATATGGTAGATGAAGAGAGAGCGAGTCATGACCTCAAAGAACCCAGCTGGATTTCTGAGCTTCTAAAGAGGTGCCGCATCAGATTCTAGCTATCAGCGCAGAGTCTCTGTGGGGCTAGTTGTCCAAAGTGAGCAACACCAGAACTGGGTTCTTACTCACAGGAGATTCCCAAGTCAATAAGAGCACATAAAGGTACAGCAACATGGACAAAGATCTCAACCGTGGACATCTGGGCCACCGACAGGGCTTGAACCCAGCATCAGAGTGAGAACTTCCTCATGGTTAGTCAAATATGTAAGACTGAAAACGGCGTTTTAGATAAATCAGGGTTTGGCTTAAAGAATACACTATTCAGGGGGTCAGTGCAGGCGATACAGGTCCAGATGATTGGCCTGTATCTCAACTCTGTCTAACCTGGAAGTGAGGGTGTCAGTTTGTAAGCGTAGCTGTTCCGGGAGCGATAGGATTGGCTCTCAGATGCTGGCTGACAATACTTCTTTATAAAGGTGGAGGAAATTATGCCTGCTAGGCATTCCATTTCAATTCAATTTGCTCTCAGTCATAGGGCAATTTGAAGCGGGAATGACCCAAGGGGTTGAAAAGAGCTTTAAAAATTAGTGTACTTGCCTGGGTTCACTCAGTTCACTTAAGAGTTTAGCACAAGTAGAATGCTTTTGAGGTGCATCAAGCAAACAATGTTTATCATATGTGTCTTTTTAAAAATGTATATGTATGTATTTTATTTAAGGTGAACAAATTTCGTGTATTTCATATATACAGATTTAGGAACATAGTGATATTTCCCACCCTTTCCTCCCCCTCCTTCTCTAATTCCCTCTTAATTTTTACATCTTTTGGTTTACCTTATACTCGTAAGATTCACCCAACACTAAAGGAAAGAGTTCAACAAACAGTAACAAAAAAGAAAATTGTTCAACAGTAGAGACAAGCACTGTAAATGGTCAAACCCAAAATGTCAAGTTCACTCCTATACATAACATCTTTGGTATAGATCAGAGAACATATGATATTTGTCCATTTGGGACTGGCTTATTTCACTAAGTATAATGGTTTCCAATTGCATCCATTTTGTTGCAAAAGATGGGATTTCAATTTTTATGGCTGAGTAGTATTTCCATGCTATCTATATATGTGTATGCATATATACAAATATCTCATAAGTTCTTTATCCAGTAACACCTAACATGTAACTCTTTACCACCAAGAAAGAGCAAATTTTCTATTTTGAAGAGTTATGTACATGATCAAGACTTAAACTTTTCTCCCCCTCAAATGTACTGTGTGCTTCTGGAGAGCACTTAGCGAGAGAAGATGTGGTGGCTCCTGCCTTTACTTCCATGACCCACAATAATTGGGAGGGAGCCACTAGTGGTGAAGTGGATCCAAGTCTTGCTCTGATCATTATAAGCAAAAAGGAAAGTTCTGAGAAATTGTTTAAAACTTTAATAACAAAAAAGGATAAGGCAATCTCCCATGAGTAAGAAAATCATTGGTTATATGGTCAGTCACTTCCCACGTACCAGTTTTGTTTGCTGGAGGAACTGGAAAAGTTCAGATGTGCATCAGGTTTTCCCCATTCAAAGTGTTTCTAGTGTTTCTCTATTTACTATCATAGGTTTCAATATTTCACAACAGTTCTGCTTGGGACATTACACTCTAAATATTTCTGTCTTCCTAATGGAGTAGCAAAAGATTTTGTGATTTGTGTTAATTTAGCAAATGTCTACCTATAAAAAGGTGAATAACAATTTCTTATCTTCTATTGCATGCTTGGAACAGAATTCCGAAAGCTCATATTTGTTAAAACGGTGAAATGGGGACATGTTTAGTACCAATGATTATTCTTGTGTCATTTAATCACCCAATAGCTTACTTTATTAATAAAGGACATAGCCAAGAATAAAAGACACTTGAAAAGTACTAGCCACCCCATTACCTGCACCTGTCATCAAGCAGATCGCCTTCGTTTATTTGCATTATATACGTGCGGACTAATTACCATCATGCTTCTGCTCTCAAACCCGTGCCCGCGGTCGGAAGCGATTTGTTCTCTAAGGCTGCTACAACGCTGGAGTGAACGACTTCTTCAGTTCCGTTGTGCTTCAAGCACAGTCTGGGGCTTCATGGTGAAACCTGGCTGGGCGACTGCCTCCCGTTTGAATGGGCTGCAGCTTTTGTTCTTTATCGTCTGCACACAGACACCCAGGGGTCTCTTTGCTGAAGCAGGTTCCTTAAGGCTGAGGTTTCCGTTGTGATAACCTCACCATTCAAGGCCTTGCCCTTTAGACAGGCCCTTCAGACTGTTTAATGAAGCAAAGAGCTGGAAAAGGACTTTGTTCTCTCCACCACATGGAACCACATTGTTTTATGACACACTGATATAGCGTTTTTATAGGATTCGTCTCAAGAAAGTGCATTTTAAGAAGTTCACATAATGGTTGAGAGAACAAGATAATCAGAGGTGCAAGGGAAAATGTTTCTATTATTGAATTTCAAAAATGGAGAGTATGATTCGATGTTAAAAAAGCAACCTCCCTAATTGCCACAAGCACCCAAGTTTCATATTCATGTGGGAAAAAAAAAAATCATGATAGATTTAGTGGAAATGCTTCGCTTTCAAATTAAGACAGTGAGGAAGCTAAGTAGTATTTGATCATATGTAAAGGATTCCCTGTCAGACACACAAGTGGAATGCTTGTTCCACAGGACCCGAGGAGCTACGGTCCCGCGTGAGGAAAGCTCTTCATAAAGACAAAGCACCATTATTCCCGAGACAGCGTGATGTGCTCTGAGATAACTTAATAGAATGCTCTTAAATTGTAAAATTAACCTTGTGGAGAATTGCAAGGCAGTTATCACATATCGAAAGGGTACAAGCGAAGGGAGCTTTCCAAGGGCACATTCTAACGGGAAGGTTGATGAAGATTGTGCATCTACGAATAGAAAAAATTCTAAGTTCTCCCACCCTTAAGGTCCTCTCCCACAACCCAGGCATTTCAGAGAATGGGCCCATTATTTGTCTTCTCCAATGGTGATGTGACATAACTCAGGACACACAGAGGCTGCCCTGGCAGATGGAAACAAGAGGTCTAACTCCTCTCAGGAAGCATCCAGCCCAGGTTAGGAGCTACAGAACATTTTTAGGAATTATTTTCCAGTAGTAACTAACATAACATCCAATTATGCAGTTAATTTTGTCACCTAACAAGACCAAGTTGAGAGAGAGATAAAAATACTTTATTACACCTAAGATGACCTGGATTCAAATCTCAGGTCTTGCCATCGCTAGTTGTAGGTTTTCAAACTATTGAGCCTGACAGGACCATTTGTCACCTGCGATAAAAAGTCTATTTGATGGCACAAACACTGAAGTCACTTCCAAGGACTGTTTATAATTCAATATATCTGATTTGGGGACATTGTTTCAGCTTGATAATATATGGCCAAAATTCCCATGAATGTGAAAGTGGAAATATTGGAAAGGCATGTGTTATATTTTCAGAAAGTCATGATTGTGTAAGAACGTTCAGAGCTGTACATGGAATGTAAGACTATTAGATACTAGAGAACCAAGTCTTAGGGAAAATGGCTGACCAATGTTGGCTTTCCAGGTATTGGCCTGTGTAATAAGATAAAATAAACCCAAATCCTTTACTCAGCAGAGTTAGAAAATACAAATATGTAGACAATTTCAAAAAATGATCCAATGGGGAATGCCATTCTCCCTTTACAAAGAAAATCATGTCATTTACAGTATCAAGGATGAATGAGAAGGACATTTTGCTTAATGAAACAAGCCAAGCTCAGAAAGAAATATTACATGAAGTCACTTATGTGTAGAATCTATCAGAATCAAAGTAGAAAAACAGTAGTTGCTGGTGGCTGGCCAGTGCCAGTGAGAGGAGGAAGAAAATGGCGAGACGTTGGTCAAAGGGCAAAAAGCTTCAATTAGACAAGTCAGCCATGGAGAGCTGTTGTGCGGTGTTGTGAGAATAGTTACTAACATGAGGTGATTAAAAAGTTAGACATATGAATGTATGTGCTTCTCAGCATAAACTCCATCAAGTTCAAGACCCGTCTGAGTGACAGTACCAGTCAGGCAGTCCACCACTAGGGAAGTCATGCCCGGTGAATTACGTCATGCAGTTATTTTTATGTTATTAACTGGAGAGAAAAGACATCAAGATTTTTAAAGATTAGAATACAGAAAGTCAGATTGAGCCAGATCAGGACTGTCAGATTGGAGCCTGACGATGTCCCATCAAAGGTCTTCTTCAGCTGCCATTTTTTGATGAGCAGAGTGAACAGGAGCCCTGTTGTGGTGGAGGATGACTCTCTGGGGAGGCCTTCCCAGATGGTTTTCTGCTAAAGCTTTAGCTGACTTTCTCAGGAGCAGACACCATCATTCTGTGGACCTCCAGAGAGTCAGGAAGCAAAAATACCTAGCGCCTCCCAAAACCCTGCTGCTGCAATCTTTGCCATCTTCGCCTGGTCTGCTTTGGCCTCAAGAGGACCACTTCTTTCTTGGTAGCTACCACTTTGGGCTTTGTCTTCGGGATCCTTCTGACACAGCCATGTTTTACCTCTTGTTCCAGTTATGTGAGGAAATGCTTTAGGCTCTTGATACCACTCATTTAAGATGTCTATTGAAAGCAACTTTACATTTTCTCCATATTTTTAAAGCTTTTATTTAATGGATACAATTGTCACAGGTACAACTTTAGGAATATAGTGGTTTTTTCTCCCCCATACTCACCCTCCCTCCCCCACTCTCATCCCACTTCCTACTCCCTCTCCCATCTCATTCTTTAAGATTAATTTTTAATTAACTTTATATACATAAGACCAACTCTTTACTGAGTAAAGATTTCAACCGTTTGCACACATATACACAATGTAAAAAGTACTATTTGAGAACAAGTTTTGCCATTAATTCTCATAGTACAACTCATTAAGGACAGAGGTCCTACAAGGGGAGTAAGGGCACAGTGACCACTCTTACCCGCAGATCTGGGCACAACAGTTTTGGCACCCATCAAGAAGTTGTACTCCATTTTTTCACTCAGAATCATGTAAGTTGAACCAACTGAGGTGTCTGTGGCATTGGCCACTTTTTTGCTACAAGTCACTGATCCTGTTCAATTGAGCATGAGGTTTTTGTTTTTTGTTTTTTTTTTCCTGTCAAATGGAAGTGGATGGTCTGCCACTGTGGGCTTCCTCTGAACATTGTCTTGTCCCTTCTGTATCACATACCCCAGGA